TTGCTAGTGGAAAATAGTAAATAATTTTAAAGGCAAACTATTTATTCCCGACCCCTGCCTATAAATACGAGGCTTCTTTCATGGATAAAATTCGTGGATAAACAGCAGGCTGTCTATATCACCAGTATTAGACGAAGTGACTACTAGTATATATAGTATCTGAGGATAATGTACATATGTATAATATATAATATAAATGCTGTATAAGTATACTCAATTGGGTGTTCATCTTGTAGATCCTATCATGCCTCATATTGTGTGCGGTACGATACTTTTATGCTTAAACGGCGATCTCAAAAGCTCATTCTCGTATCAAGTATTTACGTTAATCCATTTCAAAAGTAAAATCTAGTGAAGACTCGTGATGTTGCCTAAGTGTTGCTTGGATGAAGCTCGTACTTGTGTTATTACTCATTTCAATATTGCGCTAAATACAACAGGTAAATCCAAAATATTAAAAAGCTGCTTCACTTAATGACATAGAGACCAGTCCAACCCGTCCGTATCCCCTCGACTTCAGAAGATGCCGGTACTCCGGTGATTTCCTCTCAGCTTGGCCCTTTGGACGCCATTGGGCGCGCCACTGATGCTGAAAGACAGGTGGATGTACAAGGGAAGGCGCTGTGTTTAAACACCCGACGGTGTTTTGTATGTGAGACACCCGTCACCTTCGGACTGGTTGTCCCCTGCGCAAGGCGTGTGATCGCGATCCAGTGAGCGGTAGTGGAAGAGACTTAATCGAAGCGTGGTTCGAAGGGGATTGACGATACCGACGTGTGTCGTGAGGAAAGGGACTAGGGACAAAGGGGAAGAGTGCAAAGACCCTGAAACGACTCAATTTGTTCCATCGAGAACCCGTACTGTCGCTGCGATTACTGCTGGGCCAGTTCTTCCGCGGTATGCCCAGGAAGACTTGCATAAAATGGTGAGTGCATCAGTTGTCATGTGGAAAGTCTTCCAGAAACGACGGGTCAAATGACGTGGTCGCCGAGATGGCGATGCTGGTAGATCGAAGAACTCCTGATGATGGCTATGTGCAGTACGGAGTGAAGTGGGTTGAAAGGCAAAGACATGTGCTATTGGTTGTCATGTCTGGAGCCACCGCGAGTTGGGCATTGCGTGTTGTTATTAGTCATTGAAAAGATATTGTGCTTTGTGTACGGGGATGGTGCTAAGCTTGACTTAGGAGATCACAAGTATGCTCGGCGAATCCGCTGGGTTCGCCATTGTGATGGCTGATTTAGGAAAGTATGATCCAATTGACGAAGATGGTGGACAGTGCTTGATTGGTGTATCTCCCGGTCGAAAGAAGTCGCGCTTTAAAAACAAGCATTAATCAGATCAGAAGAAGCTTTTCCTCTGACACTACTCGGGTGAGAAACATCACTTTTAATAAGTCAGATTGCGAAAGCATGTTTTCATTACAATATTCGTACTCTTTCACCAGGATGAGTCACAACTTAATTTGCCGGTGTCGAGTTATTCAAGGCGACGTCAAATGGATATAGAACCGGTATGATGTCGAATAATCGTCGGGAGTGCATAGTCTTTCATCGCAGAAAAACAATTTTCAAAATGTAGTTCCTTGGTAGCAGCGTAATGTCGTCTCAAATTGAGTCGAATGTAAGTGCTTGCTGCGAGAAGACCATTGAGAGTGATGGTGTTGTTGTTGAGAGCTGTTCAAACAGACGCCGATTGTGGTCAGACCAAATGAAGTACCAAAATCACAACGCTAAACGTGTATCACACGTCTCCATTTTCTTTCTTCACAGACTCTTCAATTTCTCTGGACGACGTGCTTCTTCACTGTCGCTAATATGGTTCATGTTAGCTGAGATCGAACATATGGCGCCCTGATGTTCTCAAATTGTTCCATAGTCGTGATGCACACACTCGAAGAACAAGTGGTGTCCCGTCTCAACAGAGTTACACCCGTTGTGAGCGCAATATACGATACGCGGGCTCGACGGTCTTAATTATCAGAGCCGAGAGCGCGTGGGGAGTAGCAAAAACGCCAACCGGAACTGCGAGTCTTTGAATACGGGGCGGAGAAATTTGCGAAGGTAGTTTCCGTACCATACATTTGTCTTCACTTCATCGTTACCGGCACTTTGCGAGTGCAGAGAGCTTTGGCTTCTACACCACTCAACGAAGCGCTTTCCGTGGAAATACTAGGACCAAATACACCTTTGAGATATTCTTGCAGCCTAGGAGAAGGAATAAACGCTGTTGTGATCTGTCTGTTTTCTTTCCCGCGCAACTACTTTATGTCTGACTGCAAT